CATCATTACATGATAGTGCCACTAAACAAAGGCAATTCACCCATGCTGTAGTACTTACACTCAACTAATCAATTAAAACTTAATTTTATCACGTACATGTGAAAGCAAGTAGTTGTTAAATTAACTCATCTTCTCTGCTCTCATTAAATACCTTTTCTCATCACAGTTTTCCCAAACTAAGGTGGTACATTGGCTCCCAGGTAAATCAAAGTGCCAATATAATCCACTTTTCTCATAAAACCAAATTTTTACTTCAAACAAAATGGTTCAGGTCCAAAACTGATGTCAGTTTAAAGGTGGAATGTATTAACATTAATTTATTTTCTTCTGAGGGTGGGATGATTGTAAAAATGGTTTTGTTTAAAATTATACCAGGAATAATGGCCAAGTTGAAATTTCTGACTGCTAAAGAGATCTAAAAACTATATACAACCAGAAGGAATTTATATTCTGAAGCAAAATATCTAGAATTCTGGCAATGCCCAATAGCCAACATATAATGAATCACAACTGAGCTGAAACTGCTTAATAGGTGTATTTTTCATCACAAAAGCACTTTCAGATTTGATTAGTGCTGAAGGTGCATCCATATGGTTCCTATACAGTGTCATGTAGAGATACCAATGTTGAACTTTAAAAAAACAGACATAAATTGTGGGCACATGTGAGTGAACTCTGACTGTGCTTTGGGGGGGGAGGGGAGAAAAAAGAAAAGGAAAACCAAAATCCAACTCCAGTACAACAGCAAAGGAACTGCATGTGACACATAAGCCAGCTGGAAAAGCCCTCTGACTCAGTCACACGGCGTCTTTATTGTGTTGGGGGGGTTTTTAGCTAAGGGCATCCAGTGCTAGCTCATGTCAGGCAAAAGAATTGTTTTGGTCATGAAATCATTTTCACTGCTCCCTTCTTGTCTAAATCATTAATGTGTTAGAGCTACTTGGAGCTGAATAGATGTCTGAGGAGCATTTGACTGCATTTTGAAATGAGGCTGAAGTAATTTAGCAACTATTTACCTATGCTAATAGATAATAGCTATGCACATTTAGCAAAATTCATTTCCTTTGAAGGAAGATGTGATTAATATTAAATATCTGTAAGGTTTATTCTTATTTTGTAATATGACTTCCCCCTCTAATTCTGACACAATTTTATATTTTTCAGGGAAGCGTTATAAAGTTAACAGACTTCTCTCCACTGAAGTACAGCCTTCTTTCCTCTTCCTCACGATTTGTTTTAGATTAAGGTTTTTCTGGCTATCACATGAACAAAATAGTGAAATATCCACTGGGACTCCATTTGTGTGTGTTTAAACTTGGTTTTCAAACTGGATATAAAGTGATAATTATGAGGTTTTATGAAGTGGTTCTCATTTTCAATGTGCTACACAAAGAGAAACTGTTCAGTTTTCAACAGCCCTACGAGGCAGAAAGGTAAGTAAAGTTTCATTGCCCAGATTCTTGTTTCATAGGTGGGCCGTAGAGATTCAAACCAGTATTTCCATATACAATTCCCAGTGCCTGGGTACTTATGCAGAGACAACCTAGTTTTCAGTTCTTGGTTGGCAAACTTCCACGCTGCTTATACACAGCTTTAGGGCATGCAGGTTGCCCAGCAGTCCTAAAAATGAACCCCACTGAAAGGGTATCATCATTATGAACTTTCTAATTTTTTCATGGCTGCGTAGTGAACGGGATGAGAGCTGCACCAGGCTGGAAGAGAACTTGGTGCTCTACTTTTGCCTCAGTGTCCTAGGCCTGCCTACTTCAACTATTTCTAAGTAAAAATAATTCTGTCTGAGCTAGCTGATTGTGGCTGTGATTCTGCATAGAACTACTTACATGTGTGAATTCACGAATGCGAATAATCTAATTAGCTCCAAGGATACTGGGCACGCAACAGGTCAAACACAGGCATGCCTTTTAGCAGCATGAGACATTAACAAAAGTGAAGGAACTGTTGACTGCAATCCCTTCTTTTTAACATCCAGTTGGATTTTGCCACCAGAATATTAACTGCTTTAAACAATTATTTCTCTATACAGAACTGGAAAAACAAGTAGTTTTAATTGATATCTTTTTTTCTTAACCAGATTGTAACGAACTATTTAAAAGTACCTCTTAATTGTTCAGAGCATGCAGAGGTGCTGGTAGGAAAGAGGGGTTTGTTCCCCAAGCGCTCACCCTGAGCAAACAGCTGCACATGCAGCACTGTAATGTTGTCACCATCATTTTTTTAAAGCAGTAGAAGCAAAGGTTAATTGCTTGCATTTACTGCACAGTTCAAAGTGACCTCATACAAAAGATTTAGCCTAACAGATGCTTGAACTTTACAGTCTGAAATTTCATACCATTTGTTGGAATTACCTTTTAATTAGCCCTTTGGGGGTATACGTGGTGTTTATTGATTAATCTTTCAGTAGTTGCTTTTTAAATAACAGATTAATTCTTTACGCTGGGTAGCCCAGTCACGCTCTGCCATTCCACCACCCTCCTTTCGCAGTGCTGGGTGGGGACAGCAGCATGGAGGAGAGGAGAGCTGAGCTGAGCTTCAACTTGATGCCTATTATTTAGCTAGTCCCACAAGTAGAAGATGTATTTCTTCTTCAGCACAAAACACTGAGCCTAAATTACTTTTTCCTGCTGAGAGTTGGGCTTTTTAGCTTTGGAGCTGTGCTTTTCCTAATATGGCTGTGACTGTGGCTTGGGCTGCATCACCAAAGCAGCATTAACTGCCTATCCCCACTTCCCATCTCTCTCCTGGGATGAGTAATCAGAAAACTGCAGGACCATGGTTGGTGTTATCAGCCACTGAGGATGGTGTCAAGAGCTGAAGATAGCTAGATTTTGTTACATCTCATAGTTTTGGCAATGCCAGCAGAGGGAAAAAAGCATAAGATCCTGTCCTGTTGGGCACTGGCAAAACAGTCTTTTCCTGAGCAAAACAGATGAAGCAAGAAGAGCAAGGAGACCGTGGAGGGAGAGGAGTGGTGGGACAGGGCAGGGGATGTCCAGTGGCAGACTGGGCTGTAACAGCCCAACTGCTGCAAAGGGAAGTAGCAGCAGTGAGGGCTGCCGAGGAAGTGGTGCACACAGAAGACATCATCAAATATCACCCTCCCCTGTACGTGCAGTCATTTTGTGCCCAGGTGGAACCGTAAAGAGCTACAAAACAACACAGAATTGGGTCTAGAGGGTTTCCTTACACACTTGCATCAGGGCAATGACTTTTGGCTCCTGTTTGCTGCCTGGCCTTCCCAGCTGCCACTGAACTCAGGAGGACATGCTCCTGGAGGATCCCCACACTTCAGCCTGCTGAAACTTTTCATTTTTGTTGACTTCCAACATTGTTTTGGGGGGGAATTTTCAGGGATCCAGTCAACCTCTCTGTTTATTCCTCACCCATCCCTTACCAGTTCTGTTCAAAACTCTAGTTCCACCAGACTGCATGGTTTGCCTGCAAGGAGTGCCCTGCCCTGCCCAGATTCTGTGTGAAATACCTTAAATAATTAGCATGAATCTGTATGAAAAATAGATGCTCCTATCCAGCTTCTGAAGCAGAAAGCAAAAAAAAAAAAAAAAGCTGACACCTATCCCAGCTCCCATAGTAATGTTCAACCAAATGCATTATTCTCTCCTCTGTCTCCCACCTAGACTTAGTTCATCATTTTGGAAGAAGGAGGAGACTCTTGGTGCTGCACTTGCTGATGGGCTGGAAGCCAGATGTTCAAAACGGATCTTTTAGAGTTAGGTACCTTTGGCTTGGAGTTGTCATGTAGTCAGTAGGCAGATGCTCATTGTTGTACCAGCACTGAAACTCAGATGCATTGCAAGTTTCAACCACAGAAGCCCTATTGAGTAATGTTGTTTGTTGGTTTACTGTAGGGAATAATTTTAAAGCTATATCTGACCAAACTGTTAGGGAAGCCAAGGCTGTGGGTTTATGTTCTGGCAGAGATAAACTAACAGTTTTCACCCATCAAAAATAGGGTTTTTTCCCTTCCCCTTCACATGGGAAAGTAATTCAACCCTATAACCCACAAATCTTTATTTGCAGATTGATTTTCCACTATTACAACAAGCAGCAGAGAGTCGACTTAACGGGCAACTAGAGGACCACCAGCACTGGCCTGTGGTAAGCGGCAGGAGTGCATGGCTGGGAGTGAGGAATGGGGGGAGTACAAAACCTTCCTTTTTTTCCTGTTCATTTGACTCACACCATAAGCTGAAACTACGCATTGAGACGCAAATAATACATGGTGCCATACAGCAAGTCAACAGCCACTGAGCAACTCTGCCTCTCTTTCTATGAGAAATGTCAAGTGTTGAGCAGGGCTTTTCTGCTCATTAGCCAATTGATCCCTGTAGCCCCCTCCTGCAAATAGGTGGTCAGCAGGGCTCTCCTGCTTTGGAGATGGGAATTCTGAATCAGGGCAGTCAAGGTGTGACTTTTACTTCATGACTGCAAAGAGATAACTCAGAATTTCTAGCTATCTGCTTTCCGCATACCCTGTCCTTATGCCCATCCCCACTAGCCAAATCTTCCTAAAGAATAACAAGTACTTGTTTAGTTATCCTATTTCATAGAAAAAATCAGCTCCTGTTTGGTAGGAGATTAACCAAGGGACATTATTAATGTTGCAAGGTTTAAATGCCATTTTTTTGCTCTGAAGAAAAATCCTGGAAAGACTCCTGTTTGGAGTAGTATTTGGCTGGCTGTATGTGGGGCATCACCTGAATTTTAATCCCTGGAAGACAGCAATAGTTAGATAGAAAAGCAGGCCAAGAGCAATTCAGGGATCAGGCTCAAATAGTCTGTCTACAATGACATGGACTATGCCTGTTCTCTGTGATCAGCTCAAATGATTTCATTGCTGCCTTATTTCTACTGTACTGACAGGAGGATGCCGCTTCACAAAATAACCTATTCTGTACAAGACAAGCCAGTATCAGGTAAGAAAGCAAAGCAGACTGCTCAAGTAACTTAGGCTTTTTTCTTACTTTATACCACGACGCTGTCTGGTAGGTGATTGAGGAGTTCTGAAGAACTTTACAGGGCAGCAGCACTTCTTCAGCACATCTCACAGCCACGTCTGGGACCGCTACAGAAGCCCCATGGATCAAGCACCAAACTGCAAAGCACAGGTACACAACACCTCTAAAAGAGATTGCCTAGGTAATCCTCCCTGCCTTCCCAACACATATCCCCACAAACTAAATGTGAAAGACCAAAAAGGAAAATGCAAGGCTCCCCACTTACCACTGCACAGGGTGATGAGCACAGCATAGACTACCAAAGACATGGCTTTTGCTGCTTCAAATCACAGAGCAGCAACAGCGTGCCTCTTTGCAGGACGGACTGTGAGAGCAGAGTGAAACTGCTGCTGTTTCCAGAATGATATTTCTGGAGGTAGACTGGGGAATCCCCTAAATGGCATGTCTTGAAGTTCCCCGTCACAGGGAAAATCCCTATGTGTAGGAGCCAGTGCTCCTCCCACTACATCTGTTAGGTCACTCCCATTTCTGTAGTCGCCTGTACTGGTAGCACCTCACCTCACTTTTTTCTTTTTTTTTTTTTTTTTTCCCCCCCCCTCCCTCTGTGTTGATCTGAACAGAAATAAGGTTGATCGTGGGGCGCTGTGGGTCAGTGTGAAGGGCATCAAAATCAGCACTGAAAGAATATCTCTCAAGTGACAAAACAGCAGGGGAAAGGACTTGTCAGCCTCCCAAAATCCCCTCTCAACCTTCTCTCTGCAGCTCTAACAGAACAGTGTCTGTGCAAAAGTTAGCCATATGAAGTGACATTTCTGAAACCACATTTAAGCCCTGAGGTTGTAACACCATGAGGACACTGTGACTTCAGTCTAAGGGCTAAGCAGGAGTTTACAGCATGGCTGAGCAATACAAACTATATTTCTGTAGTGTAACACGTGTAACTCCCCATGTGGGCACTCATGATGTAGAAGCAGCATTTCTTCTTAGTGTATTTTGTCATTTTCAAGAGAAGCAGGGGCAGCTGGAGTGACATAATTCTACCAAATTATGTGCTGGAAAATTTCCTCATGAGAAAAATGTCAAGGCAGCTCCCAGAATAAGAATGATTTGGACATCCCCTCTAGATATCTGAGAAAAAAAAAAAAAAATCTAAAAGTCCTTTCCTTGTGATCTGTAAGAACTGTTTCCCCTGGAGAATTTTTGAGGAAGTCTGAGGTTGATCACAGAAGCATTTACAAATCATGAAACTCCAAAAGTTGCTGACATGTTATTTTTGGAAAACAGTTCTGTCTGTTGTCTTTAGGCTACTAAGATCATGATGGAGAGAAGCCATTTAGGAGGGGGGGGGGGGTGTTGAGTTTTGATGGGTGAAGCCCCTTTTGAAAACCAGGTTCCCAGAAGCCACAACAGGCTGGGAACCCTAAAGCCAAATCACCGCTAGAAAGCTTTGTGAGGAGAAGTCAGTTTGACAAGTCCTCAGCATGCAAAAGTCCAACTCAGATGGGTAAACGCTGTGGGTGGGTAACACTTTCGGAAACTCCAATCTGTTCTGCAAGGGAAGTCAGACAGCAATTTCACCCGGGGCCTCGTTGAAAGAGCCTACTTATCTTTGAAGCTCTTTGCTTCAGTCTTCATTGACCAGCATGATAAATATAACAGGCTCCAAGCTTTATTTTTTATCTTTGTGTTTTCCAGTTTCAAGGACTTCAATCCATTACTTAGAAGATAGGTACAAGTAAAACGTAAATCCCAGTGGAACTCTCTAAAGGGAGAGAAAGTCCTGAACTCTCACTTCTTTATCCTGTGTGAAATAATAGAGTCCTTGAGAAGACAGAAGTGAGATGGGGGTTCCTGAAGGAAATTTTGGAGAGGAGAGGGCTCCTGTCAATTTATTTCACATCTGTTCTTCACTAAAATGATGGCTCTCCTGCCCCCATGAATCAATCACACACCAAGCCCACTTCCAAGAAGGGCACTCAGCTTTCACCCAAGTGCCTCTTTCTGTGAGTCCTGCAGAGCTACATATTTACCCTCCATAGACCAATCCAGAGGCTAAAACCTTCTCTACCTCTTCTTTCATGATGGGGATACTCCCAGTGAGCAAATCACAGCAAGCTCTTGCCCCTCCTGTGGGTCAGCCCACAGCAATCTTTCCCAAAACGGCCTGACCAGATGTAGTCCGGCGGGGCTGTGGCATGCCCAAGGCTGAGGTCACAAGTCTGCCCACACAGAAGTGCACTGAAGGTAAGCATAAAGGGTCAGCCTTCGGTTTGATCCAGGAAATGTATATGCCACACACACTTGCCAAGGTGAAGTTAAACAACATTCTTCCTCGGTTAGTTAAACTACAGGAGTTAGGACTCTTAAAAACACATGGGTTTTCCCTCTAGGACAGGCATGGCTTCAAGCAAAACAGCCCTTTTCCTCCAGAAGTATTTGCAGGCTCAGCTGCTGTCCCACGACACAGTATGTGAAGCAAGAGAGCAAGATATGAAAAAAAAAAAAAAAAAAAACAAAAAAACCCAAAACAAAACAAAACAAAAAAAAAAAAAAAACAACCAAAACCAAAAAACTGAAACTCCCTTGCTGGGGGAGGAGAAATCATTTTGCTTCTAAACTTTCCCTGGTTGGGATTTTTTCTTTAGGGAAACTTTGAACTGGGCTGTACTTTCCATCTGAACTTTTAATACCCTTTATACGGCTTCAAAGAGCAAGCATATTTTCTCCAAAGCCCTGAAAGCTTCTTCAAATTTCACTCCAGCCCTAAGCAGTGGAAGCAATGGGAGCTCAGTGGGACGGATTCGGGTGTGGGAGTGAGGAGGCATATTGCCTGTCAGCCTTCTCTGTGAGAAACAGCTCCACATCCTTGCAGGGCCCGCAGGAGCTGCAGGGTTATGTGAATAAGTGGAAGTTTATTGTTAAACACGTTGTTCTGTGGACCTAATGAGACCTGCTTTCCTACAGGTGTGTCCTATTGCCTCTTCCTCTCCTTCCCTCGCCCGTACCACTCGCTACACCAACCATTAGCCCTCGGTCTTGATGTGCAAGAAGCACCATCTGCTCTGGCGAGTCCAGAGCCACACACGTGATGACTGATATTAGCAAAGCAGCGTGTAAAACGGCTGCATTCCACCTACCTTTCCCTTAGCAAGGGCACTCGTTTGGATCTCTGTCTCTGACCCAGCTGCTGATTTTCATGAATTTCATAGGCACTTAGTTCTCTTTGAGCCCTGATCCCTCTGTCGGTTTGATAGAAAGCAGGTTCAGAACATACTGGCTGATAGACAGCCAGATGGCATGATCACAGAAATTTCATTCTCTGTGGGAAATGAGGCCAGAAGCACAAGGATGTGGGATGGTTTCATGGGATAAGGTTAAAAAGTCAAGACTGTATATTTTTTAAAGTGTTGATAGAGCCCGGAGAGTGCTGTTCATGGAATCATATTCTTTTTCCTTGAACCAGGCAGGTAGTGGCTCCTTCAGATACTTTGGTAGTGGATTTCTTATTTTTTTATTCCAGTGTGTGGCTGCAAAAGATATGTGAGATTCCTTCTTATTTCACATATTTTCCCCTGAGTGCCAGTGTTCATTAGAAAGCACGGAGTTTAAAAACAAACACAAAGCCTTAGGTCTCTACAAGGAGTACAGAGCTCTCCACAGTGAAGAGTCAAAGGTTAAGACAGAGGTGTCAAAACAGCATTTAGCATTTCTGGCAAGGCACAGATTTTTCTGTACTGGGATACGATTATCAAATATCCATTGTTCCACTGCATTTAGGTTCCTGCTTTGAATTAAGGTCCATCCATGCGTCTCATGTCTATTGTGAAGCCACTGGTGAGGGGGTGTTGTTTATTTATTCTTATTATTATTAATCTCCTGTGCAGCAATAAAAACTGTCTGCTTCAGTTCAGCTGACAAAATCAGGAAGGCTTTTGTTTTATGTTTTAGTAGACAACCGTTTTCTAAATAATATATTCTGTGTAATGTGGCACTGTCAACCAAAGGAACAGTGACAAGAATCCACAGCCACAAATGCAGAGTAGTCCTATATTTTGAGTGGCCCAGCAGAGCTGCAGTCACAGTGTTTACTTTCCTGTCATGCTAGGATCTTGACGCTCACCACACCAACAATTAAAAGCAACTGAAAGTTTCCAGATTGCAGCTAATGAAAGGTACGTAGATCACTCACAAACTGGAGTTAGGAAAGTTTAAGGACAAAGTTCTCTTCTCTGCCCCTTCTTGGCAGATGTTGGGTCAGGATCTGCCTTTACTGTTTAAACAGCGGCAATCCAGCAATACTGAGAAACCAAAACATTGGAACTGTGAACTCCTGAGCTGCACAAAGCTTTGAGCTACAGACTATCTCCCTCTGACAGTTCAATAAATTAAATATACACAAATGGCCACTCCTCTGAATCGCCTGGACTTTGGAGTCAGCCATTCGAGATGTACCAGCCCTGTTTGTCAAAGTAGTGATTAAGCATACTCACTTAGAAATTGAAATGTGACTCAAAATACAGACTGAAAATGGAGGTATCCAAAATCAGAAGCCTCTTTAGAAACTGTTGGTCTGGGAGTTTAGGAATTGCCTTTAAGCAAATGGGAGCAAGAACTTATCCCATGTCTATGCATGTGACAGTCAGAATTTGAATAAGGCTGTACTCCATCTCATCCAGCATCTTGTCTCCAACAGCAGGCAGTGAGCTATTGGATACCCAAGAAAGCCAAGGTGCTGCAATCAAACTGCAGTGTCTGCTGGAGGTGTTCATTGAAATCTCATTTTTAACAGGTCCTTGGTTCCTCTTTTATCATCAGTGTGCTAGATGGTGCTGGTGTCGCCAGGACTAGGGACATCTTGTACCATGGTTTGTAGATTTCTGTGGACTCTCCATTGCTCATATTCTACGTGGGGTCATCCATACTGCCTTCCCAGAAGGTAAGGAGCAGATTTTTGCATGCTGTCTCTACTGAATTCTGCAACAGTAGTCTCCACATAGTCCTAGCCTTGCAGACTTCCTTCTTGGACCTTGCATCTCCTTATCACAGCCAGACAGGCACTGTTTTAGTAGAGAACTAATGTTCAGCTGGTCTGTCCCCACATCATGCTTTGGGAAATACTCCTCTTGGTGCTCCTCTCTCTTTTCTCTTGCCTGTACATTCTCCCTAGACAGGCATGCTATGGGACTTCTTACATGGGGAGAGAATGAAGGATCCCAGCAGGTCACCTTGTATTCCTAGCTGATCCCTTGGCCCACCAGGAAGGTAAGCCAGGAAATCCTCACGGGAGCAGCCTGTGCCAACAGCAGGTCTCACAGGGTCCCCTGCCCATTGTGCACCATCTGGGGACCCCACCATGCACACAGACCAACTGTGCTAAGCTGTGGCCCCTCTCCTGGTGTCTCCGAGACTTCTTGTTGGGGGGTGGTTTTTTTATACCTTCCCCATCTGAAGTCCCACTGAGTCATGGGACTTCCTGATCAACTTCCCCCACCATCTCCAGCAGCAGAAAGAGGAAGCCTGGTGACTGGGTTCTGATGAGTGTGGGGCCCATATCCACTCCCTTCTCCTCTCAGGTCTCCCACACAGCATCAATGGGTACTGTCACTGTCCACTGGATCCTCAGATGCCTTCAGAGTGGCATGCCCTGCATGCCCTTCTGGTTCCCTATCTTTACGTTCCTGACCCTTTGACCTTGATCTTCCTCTCTTCTCTCCTCTGTTGTCCCCTGCTATCATTTGGCTTTTCCCAGGTCTTTCAAAGAGCATAAGATCAGTGCAGGCATATACTGACACTTCAACAGAATACTCACCTAGCCTGAAAAGAGTTAAGGCAACTCACCCCTACTATGTATAATAACTTTGTGCCTTCACAAGATGCTCTTCTCACCATATGCCCTTTTTTCCAGTTCATTTATATATAGGTTAAACAGCAGGAACCCACAAACAAACCCCCCTCAAACATCACTGGACACCTCCCTCATATGTGAACGCTGGCCATTTACCCTCCTCTTTTAATACATTATTCACATAAAGACTTTTTCTCTTGTCCTATGGTGCCTTACTTTCTTTCAGAGTTGTTACTGATGGACCTTTAAGTCGTTGGAAATTGTTGCTGGGATTCTATATGGCTGACTTTGCTGTGTTTTTCTTTTAACTTGCCAGAGTTTATGATCCTTTCTATTTTTCCATTCTTGGACATAACTTCTATTTTCTGAAGAAAGTCTTCTGCTTCTAATAAATTCCTTTATCCTGTTGTTAGCCATGTCAGCTTTCCTTTTGGTCTTTCCAAAGTCTTTGTCCGTACACAGAAACTTAGAGCAAATGTACCCCTACATGTTACGTTTAAATAGTCACCAAGCAAACATTTTAACCTTCAGGCATCCACTTTAGTTTCTTTTTAACAAGGTTCCTTGTTCTTATGTAATTATATTGTAGCTGGAGTTTTTTTGGCTTTTATTCCCTAGGCAGGAACATTGAGCAGGAGCATTTTGAACTAGATTCTGCCTGTTGCTCAGGGGTAATATATAAGTTTCTTCTTCTTTTATAGGCTCTTTCACACAGCAACACTATTTTCTTTTTCTGCAGCATCAATCCCTGATGTGACATTTGCCCAATATGCAGGTAGGAAATTGATATCTTCTGTTATTGTTGTATTTCTTTCCCTGTCAGTAACTCTGATCTCCCTCAGCATGTAAGAAATACAGACATTTGATCTAACCCTGATATGGTACATTTCTGACTTAGGCCAGGAATGTCAGTTTATATTGGTTTTGAGCTGACTGTAAACACAATTAGCTTGTTACTTTGATTTGGCACAAAGCTTTCTCTAATACATGTTACCACTTCTCTACTGCTGCTGCCTCTTCTGTCTTTTTTTATACTTTGTACCCTAATTCTAGAACATCTGATCATTTACCTTCTTCCCATCAGATTTCTGATATACACACTATGAAATCGTGCCTGTTTAAAGTCAGGCATTTTTGTTTCCCCATCTTGTTTGTCGGACTTCTAGCATTTATAAAGAAGAATATTTTCTTTTTCGCTTGCACAAATCCAGGCTGGACAATGAGTGGATGGAGAGCAGCCCTGCCAAGAAGGACTTGGGGGGTATTAGTGGATGGAAAACTGATCATGACCCAGCAATGTGCGCTCGCAGCCCAGAAAGCCACCTGTGCCCTGGGCTGCATCCAGAGCAGGGGGGGGCAGCAGGGCCAGGGAGGGGATTCTCCCCCTCTGTTCTGCTCTTGTGAGACCCCACCTGCAGTGCTGGGGCCAGCTCGGGGGCCCCCAACAGCAGAAAGATATGCAGGTCCAGAGGAAGCCATGGTCCTCAAGCAGGTCCAGAGGAAGCCATGAGGATGATGAGGGGGCTGAAGCACCTCCCATATGAGGGCAGGCTGAGAGACTCGGAGGTGTTCAGCCTGGAGAAGAGAAGGCTCCGGGGAAACCTTAGAGCGGCCTGCCGGTGCTTAAAGGGAGATACAGGAAAGGTGGGGAGGGACTCTTTATCAGGGAGTGTAGGGATAGAATGAGGGGTAAGGGTTTTAAGCTGAAAGAGGAGAGATTTAGATTAGATAGAAGGAAGAAATTCTCTCCTGTGCGGGGGGTGAGGCGCTGGCCCAGGGTGCCCAGAGCAGCTGTGGCTGCCCCCTCCCTGGAAGGGTTCAGGGCCAGGTTGGACGGGGCTGGGAGCCCCCTGGGCTGGGGGAAGGGGGCCCTGCCCGGGGCAGGGGGGGTGGGACTGGGTGATCTGTAAGGTCCCTTCCAACCCAAACCATTCTATGATTCTATGATAAAGGCTGCTGAAATAAATAGCTGTTGGTACCTATATATTGTTACATTGCTTTGTCCTCATGTACACTTTGGATCTTCCTTTTTTAGATTGGAAAGACATTTTACAAATATTTCAGTTCAATTGCCTTGGCCAAAGGCATTCAACAGGAGTCAGGAATAGTGACTTGGAAACAAGAGACCTTATGCTAAGAGCACTGTTGGGGTTGCAATATGTTCAGTCTTTTTGTTTACATTTCTTCTACATACTGACAGTTGGTCCCTCATTTTCCTTTAGGTTTCAAAGTAAAGATCTACCACCTCAGAACTCCACACTCGTGGAATACAGCAAGACCCAGGAGGCAACAGCAAAATGGAGAGCAGCAACATCCAACAAGGACTGTGAAGCACCAGGTGTATGGTCCCCACTGAAACAGCAGCTTCATGGAAGGTAGCCCAGGGTGGAGCCCAACCTGCCTGGAGATGAGGGACCAGGACAATCAGACAAGGGAGCACGTTCACCTGAGTTCCCATAAAGACCTTGGGAACTACTTTCTTCAAAACAGTAGGATACCGGGCTCTCCCAGGCCTCAGGTCCCACAGCATCCCTCATTCCCTCAGACCAGGGCTCTGCACATGAGCTGTCGTCAGCAAAACCTTCAGTAACCATGCTGATGCGCATAAGAGATGGAAAGGGGAACCACTGTCTCTTGAGGGGGAGGCTGAGGAAACAGGTGACGTGTAGTGGGAGGATGAGCAGTGAGAAATGGAGAAATGAAAAATAGAAAGTTTTCGCTAGAGCTGTGGCAAATATAGTTCTTCTAAGTGTAATGGAACTAGACAACAGAGTAGGCAGAGACAGCTTGGTGGCCTTTTAAAAGAGGAAGGAGTGACAAATACATAAAAATACTAAACTGACCTATGTCCTGAGGGCCCTGAATATCAAGCTCTAGGGGCTCACGCTGTGGTGATTTTAAGAAGCTACTGGTCCAAGTTGTCCACCCATTGCCACAGGTTATTACCCCATTGCTGACTTGTCAGAAATAGCTGTTTGCCCACACTATAGGCACCAAACTGATGTATTGACATAAACTGAGGTGACTGTGGCTAATTCAGTTCAGTAGGATGTGGACTGTGGTGGCCAAGGGATCTCCTTCTTGATCCCTATCAGGTTTAGTTGAATAGGTGACCAGCCGAGGTCAAAAACCTCCTGAGCCATCACAGCATAACCTGACAAGCACCAAGAGTTCCCAAGAGACCACCAGGAGAGCTTTGACACTATTTTAGCCAATTTCTTAGTCTTTAGACCTCCTTTTCTCTGGTTTTCACAAGCTCCCTTGTTGCCCTAGCTTGCAGAAGTCATTGGAGAAGGCTTACAAAAGCTCTGTAAGCATGTTCTTTTTGTCTCTTTGTTGTCTTTCCTCTAGGGAGCTGAGTGCCAGACTGAGTAGCGCAGGCGGGATATAATCCCTTGACATGGTTCAGAGAAGAGCACTGGTAGTTTTATAGCATGGCCGTCAGGGTACAACGAGGGTCTGGGAGAAATCCCAGGGTGGCCAGGCAGGGCCCATCAGCCAGGGCCTGTCCCACTGCCCTGGCCAAGACAGCCTGGGCAGAGGCAGCACCAGCCCCGGGCATCCGGCAGCTCCATGGGGATGGGGATGGGCCCATGGCAGGGAAGGGAAGGGCTGTGGGGAGCTGGAGACTGGCCCTGCTGTGGCATCACTGGGGCAGGGATTCACAGCCCCAGTGGGTTGAAATGAGGTCCTGGGCTCTGGTGAGGTTAGGGATGGAGCCCTGGTGGGGGTTGAAATGGGGTCTTGGTGCATGGGCAGGGTGGGGGGAGCCCCAGAGCAGCTGAGGCAGGGACAGGCAGGGCTGGTGGTGCCCTCAGGGCCCTGACAATGTCATTGACCAAGACTGGCACTTCTGATCATCTCTGCCCGTATTAAGGAACTACAGAGGAAAACCTACTCCATCAAACGAGTTGCAAAACTAAGATTAACCCACTGTAATCAAAATTCATTATTGTTACCTTGGTCATGTGCTCCGATAACCACAGTGCAAAATACCACTGCAGAGCCAAGAAGATGCCAGTCTAACACTTGGTGCCAGCTTTGCACTGCTCCTGGAGATTTGGTTTAGCTCTGACTACAGCGGTGCCTGCACATGTTAGGAGCGGCTAATAAATGGCAAGTAGTCCCATGAGAATCACGACTAACGGCTCCTGCTCAGTTAGACAATCAACCATTTAATAAAGGGTGAGCTTCTACCTTTTCCCTTCCATGGGGAGCATTAATGTATTATTTCTACCCTCCTTAGCCACTTATTTCCACAAAACTGGTAGGAATTTAATATTTTTGAAAGCACACTTCCTCTATTAATCTCAGCTGAAATTGCCCAATGGATTCAAAAGTTATTAGGAGTAGCTAGATGGTTGTATGGATGTTGACAGAGACAGATATAAAGCATTATTGTATTAAGAAAGCACTCAAGTTTATAGCAACATAGATTTTTAAATCACATTAACATCCAGCAGATATCTACTAGTATGAGGATTATGTTTCATTTCTACATGTCTGCTTCACTAACAGCCTGAGAAACTAAAGGAGCTCAAAAAGAAGTGGCCATTGCTTAGATTTCATGCCTTGATGGTCTTCTCTGGGAAGGAGGGATTGCATAAATACTCCTCAAAAACTAGAAGTCTTGCTTTGCACCTCCGATTCCAGATCTTTCAAAGATGCAGTTACCATCCTTCTCTCCTTCAACATTTTATAAATTAAACCTCCTCACTCTGTCCACTTCCCATGTTAGCCTTCCCCTTTGAGACTTGAAGGAGCAGAGGTTGCTGCTCTTAGTGATGTTGAGCTTCTCCATAGCTAAAAAGCCTTATTGCTTTATGTATTTGTTTCTCAGGGAAATTCAAGCTTTAGATATAAACATTTGTGAGTAATTTCTCCTTAGGACTATTTAAGATATAATGAGATCTATATTTTATATTGATTTGAGCTTTGGTTTACTTGTTCATGTATTTTTGAAAAAGAACAGGTGCTGCTTGAATGTTTCCTATGAGGCAGATTAAACACATGCTAGAGAGCACACCTGAGCCAAAGGTCAATCTTTCTCAGCAAGACAGCCAGCAATAAACTCCTCCATGGTCTCCCAATTTTGGTAACGAAGGCTTATAAAGTAGACTGTAAATAAGTTATTTTTATTTATTGTTATTTAAACTTTTACAAACTACTGAAATATATGTTTTGAAAATTTTTGCTTTAGTGGCCTGCAGAGGATAGCATCTGGTTTTCTACCTACAGTATTATTTAATTTGGAAAATTCCAAGTCTCCCAGTAAATTGGTCTGGCAGCTTTCACTGCAAAATTACAAGTTGAGTGGTTTCCACTACCAGCCATGCCTACAGTTCTGCCCTTCTGAGAAGTATATTTATATAGGCTTCTTTCCAATTAAAGTCTGAAATGGCTTTGTCATATCTGGGGGCCATTGTACTCTTATTGTAAAGCACCTCATTTAACTGGTCTCACTGCCATTGGCTTTTAAATGATGGTGTTCATGCCCACGACAAGCACTCTGTTCTTCCATGGGAGGCTTGGTTACCTTAGAGAGTTTTGCCAATTATGTCAGGAAAAATGATCTCTTCAAAACTCTCCATGGTGGCCCTAAGCAGAGTGGTAAAAACAGGTTGGTGAAATAAAACCTGTGATCTGTCACCAGGTTTGGCTAGGAGGAATTACTGAAAAGCTCACTGTGTTCCCTCCTTACCCTCTGAATCAGTCTGGGTATTACAGTTTAGTCTATGTATTTCAAAAGCAGAAGAGAAATCAATGTTGCATGAGTGTTCAAAATGTCAAAGTCACCCAAACAAGCAGTGGATGTATCATTTGTTTGTGACGATCTCTACTTACAGAATATTCTGTAAAATGTATCTTAAGCTAAAACTCTAGTTTGTTCATTTTCAGAAAGGGACTGGGCAGGTTTTAGGGGAACAAAAGGAGAAAGTAATACTTTCTTTTTTCAAGAAGACCTTTTCATTGCTATTCATCCAAAGACAGAACAACTGTTAGCTGGTCAGTTTGAGTGATTTTCTTAAATGAAGGTGGGGAATAACAAGTCACAGGAAGCCTGGCCATGTTTCCAGGAGAGAACAGAGCATTTGTCTCCTATCCATCTAAAGTGGCCAACCAAAATGGTAACTTCCCTCAGCAAAAAAAGAGAATTACAGGAATTTAAAAATACCACAGATTTCAGTACATAGCTACGTATGTCATGGAGACCAAGACATTTCCTACTGACAGTGAAAGCAGAATGTTTGTATCATGAATTATTCTTGATGGTTCTGAATTATGTCAAAACCAAGTGATCCTAGAGGAAAATCTATTCTAGTAGAATTTTAAATCTGCTCTCAAAAGCATACTCAGCCTGAAGAAATTGATGGAACTGATATTTTTCAGAAGCACTTGGTTTTCTTCTTTCATCTACGGTTTCTAAATACAGACCTGTAATATTTTTCCCACACACTTGGAAGATCTGAATTTCTTCCTGAGATGGCTTCCTAACTTTTTCAACTAGCACTTCACCCTCATTATTTATCTGTCCTGATATTTTAGCTTTCTAAAGTTTTGAGTCAAGGAGTTATCTTTGTGAAATGTCTGGTGAAGCAGTTGCAGATTGCAAAAGCTCATGTCTGGGGCTTTTTACCTGGTAGAGATGGGAGGTGAGAGGGACCAGGCATTCAGTGAAGAGGACCTAAATATGTATAATCTCCTCTACTCCCTTCCTGGCCATGCGTGCCATGTATCCAAATCTCTGCGTGACCAAAAGCAATGATATGTGAGCTGTGTGGTTTGAAGAAAGGAAAGGGAGGTGGGGTGGGGGCCCTAGATCCAGGTTGCGTGCCAGCAAAGGGCCCCAGCAGCCACCTGCTTAGCCTGGGCACCGCGCCACATGCACTTGCTGCTCCTGAGTGGGTTTAGTTGAAGAGGCCAGAGCTGGGCTTCCACCATCAAAGGTCAAGATCGCTGATGGGTGCAAGTGGTTTCTGCAGACCCTAATGAAAGTAAGGCTCCAGGCTGCCTTGCATTCTCCAGGACTTCACATAGAGGTAGTTATCTTGTTGGAAACGCATCTGTCGGTTTTTTTTTTTTTTTTTTTTTTTTGTAGTGGAAAAACTGGTGCTAAGAGACAGAGTGGGAGATGTCTGGGTATGTTGGAGGATTCTCTCTTCTTTAAGTGGAGGGGAAAAAAAGACATGCAGAATTTCTATTTTCATGAACTGACTCTAGGTGGCAACAACACGCTGTTGTAGCCTTACCAGAGGCTGGTCAGACAGGGACTATTTAATACTGCTTACACAGAGGCAAAAAAATTGATAGCATTTTCAGTACCACTTCTAGAAAATTTTCCAGCTGATTGCACCAGCTGCACATTGCCAGAAACACTTCCAGATTCTGTCAGTCTTCGTTGTAATAGAGGACCTGGTTTTCAACATGTTTTCTGAATAAGATGCTGCATGTTTTATTTTGTAGGCATAATACTGCAGGTGTGCAGAGGAAAATTAGCAAACTATCCTCTTTTGGTTATCCTGCTTGGATGGGCAATCTCAGGAAGCCTGTATAATCCTGATTTGTAATGATGCCCATAAAAGTGCACAGATGGGTATGTACAATTGCAGTTCTGTAGCATTCACCAGTGATGCTCTTGAAATACCACTTCATCAAAAAAATGACCACTCGTCAAAAAAACAGCCACGCAGATACCTACGAAATGCTTGCCACGTCTTCTGTGTAAAACACTGCATCATCTGCCAAGAGATCTGTAATGCCCCATTTCACTCCCTCTTCACAATGTATCCAGCTTTCTGGGCTTAGCAGTAGATAAGCAAACACTTGCATGATATACAAAATTTTACAGGCATGATGAACTGCAGTGGTTTTGCATTTTTCTCAAAAGTCAGTTGTACTGTTAACTCCACTGATTCTTGAAATATTTAAATCTGCTATTGATGCATTCATAAGCATACAGAGAAAGCAATCTGATTACCTGTTGCAGCAAAGACCTGTCATTGTAACCATACTATATACTAATAATCACCACAGAAAATCTTTCAAGTGTGATGATGTCATGTTTGTAGCAAGGCCAAAGTGTCTGATGGCTTCTACAGGATATGATACACTTCTTTATTACTCTGTCAAAGTGACAAATCTTTGAAACCCTGTGATTAAATCAGCTGTTTTGTATAATTGACCCATTCACCTGCATGTTGTCAATTAATCTCCTCTGAGGCTATTTCCAGAATTCCAAACCTCTAAGCTGCTTTCAAAGAGAACTGTCCTTTAAAATGTAAGTATGTATCACCTGAAAGCAGTTTCTTCCTTTCTTATCAAAGTGTGTAATTTCCATTTAGATGATACTGAATCAGGTTTCCAGATTTACAGTATTCTAAATCATTATTTTATAATCCTTTATCAACCTGGTAGACTGATATTTTTAAATAAATATGTATAAATGAGTCAGGATTTATTCCTGCTAGGAATATATA